AGGCCGGCCCAGCCCTAACCCACGACATGTTCTGATAGACAAAACACCCTGCTGCCGAGAGTTTATCAGAGGTACTCTCACGCCTTATCAGAGAAGTTGAGCAAGCCAGCTAAGTATCACATACCTGAAATACGAGTACTTCAGACAAAGCCTATGCAAAAAGTATGATGTTAATAACTTTATGCATTATAAACACCAGTCCATTCATTCCTTACCAACTGGAAAAGAGCTTTTATCTTCCAAGTCTTCCCAGTGTTCAAAATCAAGAGACACATGAGGATTCTGTTGACAAAAACAGCGTTTGAAATACCTGCACTGACACACAGTATGTTCAGAACACTGAATAATTCTCAAAATTATTTCCACTTCACCTTGTTCTTCAGTAATTTGCACCATGTCCCTTTTTCCTCTTTTGCAAGAACAATAACAGCCTCTTGATCCTTAATCACACACGAAGACTTTTCTGCAAGTATGTATTGATTCAGCTCCATGTCAGCCAAATAAAATCTGTCTCCTGAACACGCACTACATTATAAAAAAAGTTGAAAAAAATTAAATACAAGCTGACAGTCAAATGTTTTGTTCATTACACGATTTCTTAAACCTACCTGAAAACCACCTTCTCTTTAGAGAACTCACATTGACAGTCTGCTACATTGGCTATTTTTACCTTCATTTTAACAGTCTCTTCATTTTGAAACCACTTTATTTCTGGAAAAAAACTAAGCCAAAGAAAGTTTAATTGCATTTTTCTCCAAAACAGAAAACGTGACGGGAGGTCAGCCAGCTGGCCACAAAAGCACTGCAATTTCAGTCTTTGGAAGAGCACTCCTACTAGGTCAAGCAGGCAAAAACACTCCACTAACTTTGATATCCAAAGAAACTAAACTTACTTATTTAATGATACTATCATAGTCTAATCTTGAAATGACAAAGGAAAACGTAACAGTAGCAGGACTAACCTCTGAAAGACAAAATAAACTTTTCAACTGAACACAGACACAACCACACATTTCTTAACAAGATTTTCAACTGCTTATTCTACAGCAGTTATGCCTCAACCTTCCCATAAATGCTGCAAAGGTTTTAACCAGTGAATGACAAATCCTATGAGCAAACTGCAATATGAATTCATTCAGGTTACTTCCCCTACCATACCCTCACTCGTATCCAAACCCTCATTAATTTAACTGCTATGCCATACCTCAACTTGTACAAGAAAACGTTAGCCACCCATAATTAGCATTAATAGGTAGAAGAAAAAGATTAAGTTGCCAAATAGGAGTACTGCCTAGTCCCAAAGCGTGTGAGAAATTTAAACATTTTTCAGGATACTATCTGCTGACTTTGAAAAAAACCAAACTAAACAAACAAATCCAAAAAAATCCCCACACCTAAGATGTCCCTTAGCATATTCTACCAAAACCAAACCTAGTAAACATGAACAAAAAAACAATAAAAAAAACAACCCCCCCAAACCAGCCTACCAAAAGTGCACCATAATTCAAAATAAAGTCTTTTTTTTTTTCTTAAAGATCAGAATCACATTAAGGGGAGAGACGTAAAATGTATTCATCTCATTAAATACCGCTATGCAGAGACTGAAAAGTAAGAGTTATAAATTTAGACCTCAAAGAGGACAGTCTTCCGTTAAAACATAATCGAGGTAAACACAAGCCAGTGTTTATACCCATGGACTGAGCCGGAAAAGCCTTTGTTTTCATTCGCTTCCTGGTACTATGGTGTCTAATCAAGGATTACATGATTTCAACAGATAGAAGTTAGCTTCTAGGAGTAAGGAAAAAGAGCAATTTAAATTACTTAAGGGATTCACAAGATGATGTGTGTACATACATATGTATCTACCAGCAACAGTAATCTGTGAAGATCAACATTGACACAATACAGGCAGAAGCATTTGGTTCTAACTATTTACCCAGAAAACAGAGAGTCTCACCCAGGAGGACTGTCCGGTTTGGCAGCTCACATTAAAAGGTGAGCATGGAAACAAAACACACTGAATTTATTGTACCTTTTACGCTGATGCAGGGTGGAGTCTTCCACTTCCTTAGCTTGAGCTACACCATCTCAAAATAAAAAAAATACAGAAACACTTATCTATACTATAGAAAACATATCCCTCCAGAACACCCCAGAATCACCATAAAAATAATTGGCTACCAGCCAAATTACTACTGCAAGACTATATTTGGTGTTTAAATTGGGTACTTCCTATTTATAAAGATTCCATGCAGTTAACTGAAAATTTTAACTAGGAAGAGTATTGTAGTTCACATATGAAAGTTAAAAAGCCCAATAAAACCACAGTTTTCCAGGTCAGGTAAAGGTTTTTCCCAGTTTCCAAGAAACTTGAACCACACAGTTTTAGAAATGACTACAAGTTTCAGGGATGAAACATCTTGAAACACGGTATTACAGTTATCTCTATGGCGTGGGGGGGGGGGGGGGAGG